TGCTTCTGCCTCGTCTCACCGTTGGGCTGCAGCCTGCGGGGCTCCGCTCAGCGCCCGGGAGGAGCCGAGGCCTCACCCCGGCCCCGGTTCTCCCCCGGCCCCGGTTCCCCCCCGCCGCCGCTACCCGATCCCGACAAACCCTCCGCCCAAACCCCACCGCCGCCGCAGCCCGGCCGGCACTCACGTGAAGAAGGGCGGAAAGCTGTACTGCCAGGGCCACGCGAAGCTCATCGCCACCGACACCGGAACCACCTCCGCCAGCTTCCGGTCTGCACCGGCGCACTTCCGCCCCGCCTCATCGCCACGCCCATTTCCCCACTCCCCGCCCACTCCCTATCGCCACGCCCCCCCCCCCCGCCGGGGGGACCCACCCCCTCCCCTTCCCCCCCGCCCCACGGACGTCGAGCCCCCCCCTTCAGGTACGAGCTCCGCCCACTGGTGCCGTTCCGCCGCTGCCTGCCTCGAACCGTGACCGCAGCCGCCCGGGGGCCCCGGGGAGTCCGGGGTGGAGTCGGGCAGGGACGAGCGCAGAAGAGGCAGCCGAGGCGTGGGGAGAATAAACCTTTACTGCCCAGTGCCCAGGGAAGGTGAACCCTCGGGGGATTCCCCCACCCAGCGCAGCCCCGGCAGCGCGAGCAGCAAAGCCCCGCACCGGGGCGACGAGGGCCGGGGCTGTGCCTGCATGGCGGCACCTACGGCTGCGCCTTGCCGTCCTTGCTGCGCCAGATGACCAGGGTGACGAGGAAGGGGATGAGGCAGATGGGGGCAATGATCATGGCCAGCAGCACGTCCTCGGGGGGGTCGAAGTAGGCCTGGCTGCCGGCCGAGCAGTTCTGGAAGTAGCGGTGGTGGCTCTGGAAGATGTAGCTCTCAGCCAAGGCATTGGGGTAACTGTATTTCAGGCTGTCAGCCCACTCCTCCAGGCACTGCTGCAGCGAGCTGTAGGGCCTGCAGAGAAAGCATGGGGCATTGGGCTGCCCTACACCCCCAGCTTGGTGCCTCCGCCCGCCCCTACCTGCTGATGACCTTCCACTCGCACAGCTGTGCGCCAGTCACATTCTGCATCACCTGCACGAAGGACTCCCAGCAGCGGTGTGTCAAGTTGGTGTATATCTCCTCTGTGGGGGGATGGGCACTGAGCGCAGCCACAACTCAGCCTTGGAGGGATTTGGGGATGAGGAATGGGGATGACACTCACCCACCAGCTCATCCGTAATGTTGTACGTGGGCACTGGTGGGCTTGTTCTTGCCTCCTGCGTGAAGCCCTCTGCCGTGGCACGCACTTGGCAAAACTCATGGCCCAGCAGTGCTGTGAGGGGGGGGACGTGGTCAGCACTGCAGGAGGGAGCACAGCCACGGCTCCACAGCAATGATGGGTATGAGGAGGCCCAGGGGGCAGTGGGGTAATGGGATGAAGGGTGATGGGGGACTGAGAACCGCCAGCAGCAGTGGGGCCGGGCCATGCCATGCCCAGCGCCTGGCACTGGTGGGGGAGTACCTATTTCCAGTCAGGAAGAGGAAGTGCTGACCGCAGTGCAGCATGGCCATGAAGCAGAGCCTCCTGTCACCCCCCCCTCCCCCCCCGAACCCGTTGCTAGCATGGGGCATAGCTCCCCAGACCCCTCCACCCCTCTGCCAGGATCAGGATCACTCCTGTCTGTTTTCCACCTTTCCGTGGTCATGGCATGCCACCCTGGAAGCTACTTCGTTGTGGCCTCTGCTGGCTGGCAGTGTGCTGTGGGGATGACACAGCAGCTGTGGGCTGGCACAGCTGTGGCAGCAAGGGCAGCCCACGTGCCCCCAGTGCCCAGTCCTCTGGTGCTGACATGCTCCCTGCCCAAGGCACAGCTGTTTTCCCACTGCCATCAAGTCCAGGTCCCTGCGGATGCGCCATCGCTCCCTACCAAGGGGAAGGGGCCGCCCGCAGTGCCCAGTGGTGCTGGGGATGGCCACCCTAGCACCCGTGTCCCGCTCACCGCTGCCCGGCGCAAGTCCTGCGGCCAGCCCGGGTGCAGCCGCATGGTGTGGGGCCGTGCACTTACCGCAGAGCAGCAGGAGCCCTCGGGAGAGGCGGCCAGAGCCCATCTGCGCACACGGTGCCATCCTGCCGGAGCCTGTGGGCTAGCAACCGGGACAAGGATTTCAATGGAAATAACAGGAAGCAACTCCTTTCCTCTGACAGGGGCAGTTTGAACTACAGGAGACGTGTGAAAAATGAGATTACTTAGTGCTGCTCTGAGGCAGCCCTCCCCACAGGACCCCACCACTATGCAGCAAATGTTGGACCCCTGGGTATCGCCCCACACCTCACCCTGGGCAGCAGAGGGGCTCCCGCAGCACAGCCGCTTCACAAGGCCGCTGTTTGTTTACTTGTGTATTTCTCTTTAATCCTGTCTGGGCTGGGTTGTGAAATCCCTCGTCTCCTGCGTGGAGGGCAGGCAGCCCGGCAGCGGGGGGAGTGGACAGTGGAGCAGGATGTCCCGGGAGGGGTACTGCTCGAGGCTCGGGGGCGTTACGGCCCCAACCCCATGCTCATGGCGCTGTGGGGCACCTGCCCCAGGGGCACGGGTGGGGTTGGAAGGGACAGCAGTGGTACTGCAGTGGGTGCGAGCCTCAAGCAGACAGGAGGTGGGGATGGGGCAGGAGACTTCGGCTGCAGTGCTCCTCTTCACCCCATGCCACCTCAGCTCCCACTTGGGGCAGCGCGGTGCTGGCTCTGCAGAGTCCCCACCCGGGGATAGAGCTTAGGCCACACGAGCTCATCTCACTGCTTGCCAAAGGCTAAGCTCCAGCCCAGAGCTTTCCCTTTAAAATCCACTCGTGGGACTCACAGAGCACAAATCACACATCAGAGAATTGCAGTTCACAGGGACCCTCCCTGCTTTGGAAGGATTCAGTTGCTGCACATTCCTGCTGCAATATATTCCACACGCTATGTGCAGGCTGTGTGGCAGCCGACACACTCCTGGCACTTGAAAGTCCTTCAGCAGCAATGGGAGCCCATGAGGCCGTGGCACGGGGTCACAACTGCATTCTGCTCTTTGTTGTCACACCCCTGGAGCAGCAGCCGGCAGCGGGATCCTCTGCCAGAGTGACACCCAGTGATCTCAGCCGGCCACTCCTTGCACAGCTGGGGCAGTCTGCCAGCGCCCACTGCTCCCCAGCCCCACTCTGCAGGCTCCCCCCAGCCCTTGGCTGCGGTGCTGTGAAGGGGACTCAGCCTGGCAGTGGGGGACACATTCCCATATTCTGGGCTGGGATACAGATGTCCCAAGCCCTGCTGCCGGCCTTGCCCCATGGCACAGGTCCCAGAGGCAGCCCGGGCCCCTGCCTGCTCTGCTTTGACTCACCCCTCAGCTTCCCCCATTGCGCCCTGGGGCTCGCCATCAACCCAGCGTGGGCAGCGAGGCTGCAGGGACCGCGCTGCCACCTGGGGGGGTGCAACCCAGTCTCCAGGCTCTGCCGGTAGAGAGAGCAGGAGCTGTCAGCAGAGCTGTGGCCGTGCTCCAAGGAGCTTCTTCCCACCGGCTGCGGTCGGGCTGGGGCTGCGCTGGGGGCTTATCACCGTACCTGAGCCCATCCCAGCACTTTCTACTCACTCTCCAACGATAGGGAAGGCTGAAGGGGCAGCGAGTTTCCCTGCATTTGACTGACTCAGCAGGAGAGGCTCAATGGCATCAGATATGGGGGCAGCCAGGATCAGGACTCAGCTGTGGGAGCACGCCTGGATGTGAGCGGCCAACAGCCCCACTCGCTTCCTGACGAGGGACCCGCAGGTTCCCCACGCTGCTTTCCGCAGTGCCGCCGGCTGGGCGGAGGGGAAGGAAGGGGCCAGGCTGGGAGAGCAGCCGGGGAAGGGAGCCCCATGCCGCAGCCCCGCTCCTGCCCCGGGCCAAGCAGAGCGGCGCTGCCGTCCGCCCCAAACAGCCGCTTCCCGTCTGCCGGCACCGCCCTTCCCCAGCAGCGGCCCACGGCCCCGCTCAGAGCCGCAGCCGTCTCTCGGCGGCACCGCGCCAACCCCGCTCCCACGCACAGAGGGCGGGTGGCGGCCGCTGCCGGACCGCCCGGTGGCCGCGTGGCTCCGCGCGGGCCGCACCGCGTCTGGGGCCACGACCCGCGGAGGGCACGCAGCGCCCCCTGCAGGCGGGGCTGTGGGTCGGCCTGCTCTGCGCCCAGACCGCTCCGCGGCAGCGCCCACAGACTTCGCTTGCCGCTTTTCCACACCCCGGCAGTGCCGGCGCTTCCTTCCCGCTGCTATCGGCGCAGCAGTAAGGAAACCGCACGCCGGGCCCAGAGCCGTCACGGGGAGAGGGCGGCGGGAAAAGAGAGGGCGAACCCCGCACACCATCACAGACTAGCGCTCAACGGCGCCCACGCGGCGGGGCGGGGACTTGGCGGGAGTGCGCTCCAGGGGCGGGGCTAAGTCAGCGCGTGCGCAGTGCGCGGAGAGCGCGGCCTCCCCCGGCGCGATGGCCGAGGAGTGAGTGCGGGGCGGGGCGGGGCCTGGGGTCCTGCGGGGGGCGGGGGGCGGCCCGGCCCGGCCCGGCGGGAGGGGCCCGGGAGGGAGCGCGGGGTCCGGAGCGGTGCTGGGGCGATAGCGGGGTCTCTGGGGGGAGCCGGTGGCTACTCGTGGGGGCAGATCCAGGCCTCCGGAGGGCTGCGTGGGGTCCCGCGGGACCACGGGCGGGGGGTCTGCGGGGCATCCGGGGCGCGTCGGGGCCTGTGGGGGCGGCCGTGCCCCAGGAGCGGGCCGAAGCCTGGGGGCACTGCCCTTGCGAGACAGACCCCGCCGTGTCCCCGTCCCGGCAGCCTCCGCTGCCGTCGGCCTTCCCGCAGCCGGGGGATCCCCCGAGCCCCCTCCTGGCTCCCGGGGCCGCGGGCTGCGTGGCAATGGGGGGAATTCGGGCTGGAGGTCGGCCCGAGGAGCCCCCGCGGGTGGAGTGGAGCGGCCCGCTGGGTACGGCTACAGCTGGAGCCAGGGACTCAGTGGGAAAGACCCCCGGGGCTGTGCTGGGGGCTGTGTGGGTCTCTTCACCCCGTGGGATGTGGAGCTCTGCCAGGCGTAGCTGCGGTGTTTTCAGCTGCTCGGTTCCACTTAGGCTTCCTTCATGAGAGCTGAAGCATCCCTCGGGCTCACAGGGCCATGCCCGGTGCCAGAAGGCCCAGCTCTGGCTTCTCCATCAGGTAGCATTGTGTGTTCCCAGCCAAGAGCTGTGCTGTTCCGGCAGCCTGCACAACAAATGGTGTCCTTCCTAGCCTCCTGGCAATGAGGTGTTCTGGGCTGGACATAACACCGCTCCTGATGTTATCGTGTGGTCCTATGCGAACAGGAGGTGGAACGCTGGAAACAAACTGGCCATACAGTATTGAAAGATTATAAGCAGGAAGGAGAGCAACGTTTTGCATGATCTGACAGTGACAAGACAAAGGGGGGTGTCTGTAAACTGTACAGAGGAGATTTAAGTCAGATGTGAGAAAGAAGTTCTTTACTCAGAGGCAGTGAGATCCTGGCACAGCTGCCCAGAAAGCTGTGGGTGCCCCATCCCTGGAGGTGCCCAAGGCCAGGCTGAATGGGGCCATGGGTAGCCTAAGCTGGTGGGGGCACTCAGCTCATGGCAGGGGTGAGGATGGAGGGGCTGTGAGGTCCTTTCTGACTCATCATTCTGTGAGTCTGTGTTTCGCAGTGGTTCAGACTGTACAGAAGCAAGTGAATCCCTGAAAGCATACATAGTGCCATGATGCTGCTTGCATCCAAACGCTCCCCATGCTTTTTAGTGCAATTTGTGCTATAATTATTGCAAAAGTAGGATTAGTGCAGATTTAGGTGATTAGTTTTTCCTAAATAAAGTCTGTGATGCATTTAAAATCCACAGGGTTGGGTTTGTGGTTTTTGTGGTTTCTTTTAGCACTTGTCTATAACTTTATACTTTCAGTTATTTGATATTTATTCTTACTGTATTTTTGTAGAAAAATGGAAATTGCCACTCCTCCAACATCAAAGTGTATTATATACTGGAAAAGAAAAGTCAAGTCTGAATATATGCGTCTTCGGCAGCTCAAGAGATTTCAGGCAAACATGGGAGCAAAGGTAAAGATGTAGTGGCTCTGGTTGGAATGATTTCTGCTATAGACTTCAGTTTGCGCTATGGGAGCTTTTGTCAGATGAGTGATTCTTGATGAGAACTGTGAAGTTCTACTTCAGATGCAGCCACGGTGTGTTTGAAGAGGCATTGCCTCTTTGTGCTCTCTGTAAAGCAAAGCAGCGTTGTTGGCTCTGCTGGTGTGGGTTGAGCAGTTCCCTGTCTAGATGCTTGCATAAGGTGCCAGGGAGGGCTCTTGTCTGCTGTTTTGTGAAGTATCTTCTGCAGTGCAAAGGGACTGCATTTCAAGTGACTTGCTCTTCTGCTTTCCTCATTGGCAGGTAGGAGTTTAGAGCAGGTTGGCTCTGATAGGGAATTATTTAAAGTTGCTAACTTGGGTAAATTTTCAGCACGGTTTTGTTATCAATACTGAGTTGAATTAGAATTCCTTCTAATTGGTATAATCAATTTGAAATGCTCTGCCTTGTCTGCATTTTGATATGTGAAACAAGATCTTGGGAGAGATGTTAATGTTCCAAACCTTCAATTTATTTTAAAACGTTGAGTGCTTCTTTCTCTCATTTCAGGCTCTGTTTGTGGCCAACTTTGCAAAGGTTCATGAAAAGACTCAAATTCTTAATGAAGACTGGAAGAAACTTCGAGTTCAACCAGTGCAGTTGATGAAGCCGGTCAGCGGGCACCCCTTCCTAAAACAGGTAGGGAGAGCTGTGTTAGTATCAGTCTGTGCTTAGCACTCTTTCACGGTGCAAAAATGAAGTAAAAAAGGCTTTTACTGTCAAACACCATGCGTGAACACGGCACTTTGCTGTATTTGTCCTGAAGTGCCATTTCTTTCTGTGATGGTGGCAATCTCCCAGGGGCTGTTTTTTCTCACCACCCTTCTCTTCACTTCTATCCTAGTGTACAGTTGAGAGCATTTTTCCAGGATTTCCAAGCCAGACACTGTACATGAGGACACTGAACACAGTGGCTCTGGTGCCTATCATGTACTCCTGGTCCCCTCTTCAGCAGAACTTCATGGTAGGTAGGAATGCAAGATCTTTGTGAGGTTATTGTGTAATCGTTATGTGGTTCTGGAGTGGTTAAAACAACTTGTTCCAAGCCATGGCTGCTCAGGAAGACATGGTAGAAATTTGTGTTGCCTGCTTTCCATCCAAGCTGTCTTACTCAGCCATTAGTTCTTTTTCACCCAACTTCTTGATCGGGCAACCATTATAAAAACACAGGATTCTAACAGTAAGTGTTTTTTTTTTCTGACTGGGGGATTGATGTCCTTTCCTTTGTGATTGGATAACCCTGCTGATCTGTTTGTAGGGATGCTACTGAGGGTTAGTTCCTCTATCACAGTAGTTAGGAGAATGATGTAAGTGCAGGTTTTGCTGTGGCTTAGTTCAGAGTATTTGCTAGTCTGCCCCTTTGCCCAGTATGGGAGTGAATGTATTCCTGCAGCCTGTCCAAGCTTTCTAAAGCCAGATGCAGCAGACTGGTGGAGCAGTAAGGCATTAGCAATTGTAATGCAAAAAGAGTCCCCTGGTGGTGCCACTGCAATGAAATTCAAATGTCCTTGCTCCCTGCAGTCAATGCTAGAACACTCCTCAGCTTCAGCTGTATTCCTCCTGGAATGAATTGCCTTTTTGCCTCCTTCACTGTTCCAGTTCTACTCCCTTAATCACCACAACTTTGACATTTTTGGCTCTTCGTTGTTCCTGGCAATGTGTGTGTTTCTGTAACCTTTGGATACAGTTCTCTTCTTTTTAAAATCAAATACATTTTTTGAGGTTAGAGTTATTCTGATAGCATAGGATAACTGAAATGTCAGTGATGAGATGTATGAAATTTGAGCTGGGGAGGCTGAACCTTTGCTTCATGCAGTGTTTTCTGCGTGCAGTGGACAGGGGCATGTCACAGAGACACAGCTTGTCTGGGAATTAGGAAGTGCTGTTTTACTGAATTGTATCTCACTGCTTTTCAGGTGGAAGATGAAACCGTTCTGTGCAACATCCCTTACATGGGAGATGAGGTGAAGGAAGAGGACGAAACCTTCATTGAAGAGCTTATTAATAACTATGATGGAAAAGTTCATGGAGAGGAAGGTAATTTGGGAGTGTGAACGCTTAGCAGCATTTATTCAGCTTCTTGTAAGTAAGATATCAAAGTAGTTAAGAAATCAAAAGGTGGTAGCAGTACCCACCTATTATCTGGGAGCGTTTAGAGCAGAAACGCGTGCCTGCAGATATGCTTTGTAAGGACGTAAGGATCCCCCACTCTGTTCTAGGCTCAGGATTAGGAGGAGTTGAGTGCTGTCATTTCACTTGTGACCCTAGCCATGACTTGAAGGTTTTTGTAGGCAAAAAGCTTGTATGCTTTCCTAGCTCATTATAAAACTGCGTAGAGGGCAGAATGCAGCAGAAAATTCTGTTGTATGGGCTGCCCTCAGATCACCAGAAGTGTTACAGCACTCTTAGGACTCTAAAGTATTAAAACTCCACCTGGCCCTCCAAAATCGCCAGGACAGTTCTCGTTGATAAATGCTTTGTGTGGCTGAGGAACGTCCATGGCCCTCCCACAAAGTGGCTGACATCACTGTGTTTCAGAAATGATTTCAGGATCAGTCCTCATCAGTGATGCTGTCTTCCTGGAGCTAGTGAATGCCCTGAACCAGTACTCAGATGAGGAAGAGGAAGGACACAATGATTCTGAAGTCAAACAGGAGGATGGAAAAGAGGACCTGCCAGTCACAAGGAAAAGAAAACGAATTGCAGTGGAAGGTGGGTTTGGCGGCAGAAATTGGTTGCGTGTTGGTCGTGTTTCCATCCTGCCTTGCCTGAGGAGCCAGTGCTCTCCTGCTCTCACTCTTTTGTTTGTTGTGTCACTAAGAGTAGTCACCTGCTTGGCAAGTCCTGACGGAGCAGCTGAAAGAAGGGAAATCAGTTGTTCTCACTGTCCCCTGTGGACAGGATAAGCAGTCATCAGATTAAAGTGTGGCAAGGAGGAATTTAGAGAAGTGATCTGGAAAACCACGTAATGTAAGATTGGCAAAGCAGTCAGGGATATTGCCTTAGGAAGTTGTGAAGTCTGGTTACCAGTCAGGCAAGCATCTGTCAGTAAGTTTGTCCGTAGATCTGTTTTGCTGTAGGACAGGGAGCTGGACCTTTCCAAGTCCCTTCCAGCCTCGTCCTCCATGTATTACTGCTCCTCTTCCCTCTCCTTTGCCACCTGAAATTCTTGTTTAATAGAGGAATCTCTGTTCTGTGGGATTTTTGCGTGTCCTGCATGATCTTAGGAATGCTGCAAGACAAATTTTGTTGTGTGTGTGATCACATTTCTGTCTCTTAAAATGCAATCCAGAACACCTGGAATCACTCTTTCTGGAAAAAGGAAAGTTACGTTCATGTCCAGCTTAACTGAGGAGTTGTCTCTTTTTTCCTTAGGTAACAAGAAGTGTTCCAAGAAACGGTTTCCAAATGACATGATATTCACTGCCATTTCTTCTATGTTTCCTGAATATGGCTTCCCAGATGACATGAAAGAGAGGTAGAAGATCTCTCCTTAAGTTGCTTGTTGCTTTTGATAGGGGGCAGTTAAAATTTGTGTTTCAAAAAACAGCACTATGCTCTGGCTGGGAAGTAGAGCCCACTTGGCTTTAGGACTGTGAGAAGGACAACTTTTGGGTATTACAGCTTAAAGATCCCTGGACCGGAGTCATGAGATCTGTAGTGAAGGCCTGTTCAACGTCCCGAATCAGGTGAGCATGCTCATCAGTGGATGTGTTTGTTGAGCAGGTACCGAGAGCTCACAGAGGTGTCGGATCCGAACGCGCTGCCCCCGCAGTGCACTCCCAACATCGACGGGCCGTGCGCGAAGTCGGTGCAGCGGGAGCAGTCCCTGCACTCCTTCCACACGCTCTTCTGCCGGCGCTGCTTCAAATATGACTGCTTTCTGCACCGTAAGTGCGGGCTTGCCAGGCGCATCCCTTTTCTCTGCATTATCGTCTGTACTCTGTGCTCCTGTAGGCCTTGCTCTGGCATCTGTGCTGCTGCTGTGAGAGGCTGGTGGCTTCCTGGAGTTTGCAGTGGAGCCTTTACGAGCTGAGAGATGCCCAGAAGCCTTTTGTAAAGATAGCTCTGCTAAATTCCTCAAATGGATGGCAAAGCAACCTGTGTCATAGTCCCCTCTTTCTCACCGTTGTGCAATTTGTGCCAGAAATGCTGCTGTGATTAGACTTCACTCTCAGTTTACAGGAGCTCGTCAGGGAAAGGCACGATTGTTACACTTCTGAAGTTGGGACGTGCCGTGTGCTATGTTGCTTCAGTGGAGCTTACAGCGTCATCTTAGTTATGTTCCTGCTGTTTGTTCTGCCAAAGTCTTTTGGATGCTGTTGAGCTGTTGGATCTGCTGTGTCTGAGGGCTCTCTTGGAAAGTCACAGGACACTCTCCACTATTTATTAAAAGATCTGTTATTAAGATCATGCGGTCTTTTTGTTTCAGTCTGAAAGCAGATCTTTTTTTTTTTTTTTTTGTGGCATTTTACTTCCCAAGCATTCCCTCTTTGCTGCTAAGTTCCCATTACTGGTTGAAGCTTGGCCAACATGTCCTCCACCTTGTTCTCTGTTTCTGAGATCTCCTCCTGTACTCTTGGTGGCTGCATCCTGCTCCCACTTGCTTTCATTCTTGAGCTGTCCCTGTCCTTTGTTTTTGTGGTGGAAGATTTTTGTTAGAAGACTCCTGTTGCTAATAGTAAAAATAACTTATTTTTTCAGCTTTTCATGCTACTCCTAATGTGTACAAACGAAAGAACAGAGAGACCAAGATTGAGCCAGATCCGTGTGGAGCAGACTGTTTCCTCTGGCTGGTATGTTTCTGCACTGTGACTTCTGCAACCACCCCAAGAAGTGGGCCTGGCCAGCTGTGCTCCGTAGAATGGCTGAGGGTCTTCTTCACTCTTGTGGAGATTTCTCAGAATCAGTTGTAACTGTCACTGAATCTGGAGAAGCATGAATCCAGATATGAACCTTACTGGAGGCGTATTCATATAATGTTCAGATCAGCTAGCTGAGGTATCATTGTCCAAAAGGAGCTGCAGGGTGAGGCAGAGCGGGCCAGGAGGATGTCATTGCCAGGGCACGAGGCAGCAAAGCAGGCTGGAGGGACAGGGTGAGGGAGCCCGCTCATGCAGGCAGCGATGCTGAAGGAAATGAAGCAGAAATCTGCTGTGCGGCCAGCTATGAGAGCCTTGAAGGCCACGAAGGTAGCCACAGATGACAAATCTGCCTTCTCATGGTGGCAGCAGGACAGGGCTCCTCCCAAGGCCTTTCTGTGTGTCCTGACTGCATGCCACCTATCTGTGTTCTGCTCTGCTTGCAGGAAGGAGCGAAGGAGTTTGCTGCGCTGCACAATCCCAGGTCCAAGTGCTCAGGCAGGCGCCGCCGGAGGCACCATGTGGTCAGTGCCTCCTGTTCAAATGCCCCAGCTTCTGCGGTTGCTGAGACAAGGGAGGGAGACAGCGACAGAGACACAGGCAATGAGTGGGCTTCTAGTTCCTCGGGTATGGCATCATCCTTAGAGACACGCTTCTCCCACCTAGGGCTCTGACTGGTGACCATAAGCAGGCACTGCTGCACATGGGGCTCTCTGTCCATGCTCAGTGGCTGTGGAGTTATGAGTTAGTGACAGAATGTATTCAGCTGGCCTTAAACAAATGCAAGGGAAATACAGTACCTCCCTGCACTGTGTTTGGGTTATTATCTTTGTTGTCAGGCATAGCAAATTCTTTGCTGGGGCCTTGTTGACCCAGAGCACCTTGCTTGGCTTTCCACGAGCAGAGTGCGGGCAGCAGGTGCACTGCTGGATGGTGCCTCTTCATTCACTTGGCCATACTGTGGTGCTGAGAACCCACCTGTGAGTTATTGAGGCCAAGGGCTTGTGTGCAGTCTTGCAAGGTGGTGGCTGTTTCCCCAGTGCTGGGACAGGCGCTGGGCTTCTCGTGCCTCATGGGGCAGGGCAGGCTCAGGCCCCTCAGAGCACCGCTGCCCTCAGAAGCATGGATGGCAGAGTTGCATTCTTACTCATCCTTGGTCCCTAACATCAGCCTTTCTCTCCAGAGGCAAACTCCCGCTGTCAGACTCCTACCAAGCAGAAGCTGAGCCCGACCTCATCCCAGCTCTTTGCAGTAGAGGCACAGCAGGAGCCAGTCGAGTGGACAGGAGCTGAGGAGTCCCTGTTCCGTGTCTTCCATGGGACCTACTTCAACAACTTCTGCTCCATCGCCAGACTGCTGGGAACAAAGACGTGCAAACAGGTAGGGCCTGACATTCTAGTCTGGGCTATGCACCCAGGGGAAGTCGTCATGGCAGCACCTAACTCAGGGGAAGGAAGGAAGCCTTTGCTGCTGCTCACTTGGTTCTTTTTTCTTCTCGGCCTCAAACTGTTTGGGGGAACGTGTTGCATTGACACTTTGGAAGTTCACTGTTGTTATTTTACAGTACTGCTGCTGTCCAGTGCTGCTAGGTTTCTTCAGACTGTTTTATCCTGGGCCTGGGTAATACTGGCAAGTGGATGATCTTGTTTCCCAGTCGAGAAAAGCAAAGATATCCATGACTTAATGAAACTGGGGGCAGAGCTTCACTTATGCTTCAGTAAAGGCAGCTTGAGTGCACTGAACTTTATGCTTTTACTTCTGTTCTTTTTCTTGGTTGTTTTTTGTTTTTTGTTTTTTGGTAGGTCTTTCAGTTTGCAGTGAAAGAGTCACTTATAACAAAACTGCCAACGAATGAATTGATGAATCCATCCCAGAAGAAAAAAAGGAAGCACAGGCGAGTGTTGGACAGCCTTGTTTTGTTCTTAAAACGCAACCAGATCCACTGCTTTTTGTGCCAAAGCATTCCTGGTAATCCGCATCTGGCTCCCATCTGCACGCACTTCTCTCCGTCACACAGGGCTGATTGTGCTGCTGGCTGAGAGCTGGCCCCTGCCCTGTCTCTGCTGTTGCTGTCCTGGTTGGGCAGCTGTGTGGTTCTATAGTCACAGGCTCAGCCCCGGAGCAGAGGGCAGAACAGCGGCTGTCTTGCAGCAAGTGCTGCACTGCTGTAAGAGGTCTAGAACGCTGTCCTAACAGCAGCCTCTGCCTGAGCTCCCTCCCTGGCTTATAACCTACATTCTGGGTGCTGATCCAGCATGTACAGTATTATTCTGGCTCTCACGTTTGCCTTAAATAACTTCAGCTGTAGCTGAGTCGTTCTCATCTTTCACCTCTTTGTGTCTGGCTGATGGTTATTAATGCATGAAGCTGCCAGACAGCCTTGCTGGACTTGCTCGTCCCCTGCTGCTGTGCTAGCTGGCAGTGCTGAGCACAGTGCTGGCCAGTTGCTCCTGGCGGAGGTTTGTGACTCCCCCACCCCTGACATCTCTGCTTCTCTTCTAGGCTGTGGGCTGCCCACTGCAGGAAGATTCAGCTGAAGAAAGGTAGTGTTTGCTGTGGCTATGCTTAGACATTTTTTGTGTGGTGGGGGATGGTTCTCCAGCTCTGGCTTGCACAGCAGGATGCTGTGTCGTGCTCTCCATCCCAGCAGTTGCAGTGATGTGGGGGTGAGCTGCCCCCGCTGCAGAGCCTTCTTAGGCGCTGCCATGGCTCTGCCGCATGCACTGCTGCCTTGCAGGCATTCTCTGCCAGGCTGTGCGTGCAGTGCAGTCCTTCTCTAGTCAGGAGGGATGAAGTTTGGCATGCAGTCCGTGTGAAGTGGACTGTGCAGGGGTGGATGTGTGTCATATGTTTGTAATTAGAGCTGTGTGTGGATGGATTTGGCTGAGCTGAGTACTGCTGCGCTCCCTGCCCTCTGCAGGCAAATCGGGAACCTGCATGTGCTCTGCTCCAGAGCCCTGGGAATGCTTTCTCTCAAGTGTTTCTGCAAAGTACAGCTTCTAATCCTGGCATTTCTCCTATTGTTCTAGATAATTCACCTACCCAGGTGTACAACTACCAGCCCTGTGACCATCCTGAACATCCCTGTGACAGCTCCTGCCCTTGCATTATGACCCAAAATTTCTGTGAGAAGTTCTGCCAGTGCAACCCTGACTGTAAGGAAAACCCTAGGACTGTCACATATGAAAGCGGCTGCTCTCCTGACACAGACCAGAGGAAGGGTGCAGATCTGGGGCTGAATGAAGGCCTGTTTTATTTCTGCCTTCACTTTGTGATCCATCTGCAGCAGCTCAGTTACCAGTCTGATAAAGACCAAGGGAAAACTATGGTCCATGGTGCCCTGTAACTCTCAGCAGCTGGTGATAAGTGCCTTGCCTGCATGTCTGTGTCCAGCATCAGTAAGCCCTGGGTGATGCTGCTGATGTCACGAAAGAAGGATGTATGGTCAGCTGAGTCACTGCTCTGCCACACTTGTTTTTCCCCTTCTGTGCTTTCATTCTCCGCTCTGTGATGGAGATAACGGCACTTGCCTACATAACTGGGCCTTCTGAAGGTGAATTTGTTTAGGGTTACAGCTTGGGGCTGAAAGGGGTAGAGGGCAATGGGGAGACAACTCAGACTCTGGGCTTCTCTGTACAGCCCTGTTCGTGTTATTAGAGCCGTTTGTTTCCAAACTGCATGTAATTAGTCCTAAGATGCAGATCAGCACCTCTTGCTATGAAGCTGGGAAGGACTTTGTGCACAGGTTTGTGCTCTGCTAGGTGTGAATAGCAGAGCATATTCTGTGAAAAGTCTTGTCAGGCAAAAATACGAGTTGTGTTTCTACAGGTCAGAATCGCTTCCCAGGCTGCCGTTGTAAGACCCAGTGCAACACCAAGCAGTGCCCGTGCTACTTGGCCGTGCGGGAGTGCGATCCAGACCTCTGTCTGACCTGCGGGGCATCGGAGCACTGGGACTGCAAGGTTGTGTCCTGCAAGAACTGCAGCATCCAGCGCGGTCTCAAAAAGGTATTGATAGGAGCATGGCTCTGGCAAAGGGCTGCCCGAGAGTAGAGTTGGTTAACAGATCTCCTACTACATAGGAGGGGCTGTGAGCCACTCAGAGCTGTCTGAGTGAGAAAAATCAAAGAGAGAAGCAGCTGTGCCCCGGGCTTTCATAGCATTTAGAACATGGATTACTGATGTGAAAATCAGGAGTTGGGAGATGAATGAGAATGCATGAAAACAAGGGAGTATAAAAAGTAACTCCATAGAAAAGTTAAATTTTGCTGGTCAGAACAAGAGACTGAAAATAAAAGGCAGAAATTCAGTGAGTGTTAAGTACTGTGCAGCTGCAGCTTATTGATGCTGTGACATGTAACTGAAGGGAGCTGTGTCACATTACACTGGGGCAGTGGACAGATATTGATTTCTCGTTTGCTTCTCTGCGTTATTTGCCCCTGTGGTATTGGAACCTTGAGGACTGCAGCCTGCACAGCATGGCTGCTCCTGGGCACTGCCCTAAACCATACACGTACACCTGGGGTGTGATATCTGCACTGCTTGCATGCTGAGAGTTAGTGGGTCTGCCATCTGAAACTGTTTTCTTTTTACCTTGGCTCAAGCATTTGTTGCTGGCACCGTCAGATGTTGCTGGCTGGGGGACTTTCATCAAAGAATCTGTGCAGAAGAATGAGTTCATCTCTGAATACTGTGGTGAGGTCAGTGTTTGTGCCCTTTCTGGGACTGCTGTGCTGTGTGCTCAGGAGGACGCGCTCTGTGGAAGTGCTCCGTTCACCAGCAGATCCAGCAGGGACTTGTCTGCCTTCCCCAGTTCAGCCATGGCCATGGGCTCACTCTGACCCAGTTGAATCTTGTACCATTTTGGGACCCATCTTAGTATGTCTAGGCTCTCCACAAGGTGGGGTGCGCTGGTCCCTTAAAGTCCAGCTATTGCTTCTTTTTCTCCTGAGCCCTGTTGAGCTCCCACCCCTTGGTGGAGGGGCAGGAGGCGTTTTCAGTTCTTTCTGTGCCTGCAGGTATTGAGGCTCTCTCAAGGCATTCTCTTTCTTCAGCTTATTTCACAGGATGAGGCTGACCGGCGAGGAAAGGTCTATGACAAGTACATGTCAAGTTTCCTCTTCAACCTCAACAATGGTAACTTGTGGGGGGCTTCATGGGGTGGTAAAAGCTTGGGCTTCCTGGCAGGGGCTGCTGGGGGTTGGTCTGAGTTCCTGTGTCACGTGAGCAGCAATCTCGTGTTTACAGGACACTGCAGAGTTTTCTTCTTTCTTGTTTCAATAGATTTTGTTGTTGATGCCACTCGCAAAGGAAATAAAATCCGCTTTGCCAACCACTCCGTGAACCCCAATTGCTATGCCAAAGGTGAGCTATCCTCACACGGGCCATTCAAGGTGGAGGAAAAATCTCTGATCCTACTCAGCTCTGGGAGCACAGGAAGTTCACTGGGTCCCAAGTCACACTGAGTCCATTGCAGCTGCAGAACATCAAGGACACAGGCAAACTCTCCTCGTGGCTGCAAATCACATTCCTACAGCTGGAAGCTCTGCTCAGCTCTGCTGCAGCTCTGACCTTGCCGCGAGATCGCTGCTAGAGAGCAGGCTAGGATGTTATCTGTCCTGCTGAGCAGCAGTTCTGGAGCCTTGGCTCTGCAGCTGGCCACGGTCGGACTGGGCTGGAGATGCTCTGTGACCTTTGGACCTGGGCTACAGTTGCACATCTCTGGTTCTGTCTCTCTTGTTACAGTTGTGATGGTGAATGGAGACCACCGGATAGGAATCTTTGCCAAGAGGGCCATCCAGGCAGGAGAGGAGCTCTTCTTCGATTACCGGTAACACAGGGAGCTGCTGTCTGGGGGCTGTGGGGCAGGGCTGACCTCACTTTTTGTGTGCACATTTGCAAGGAGCACAGAGGTTGTTCCAGCAGCTGTGGTTTTCCTGTTTTATAGGTACAGCCAGGCAGATGCCCTGAAGTATGTTGGTATAGAGAGGGAGACCGATATCATCTGAGCTGTGTGCCAGGCGGTCCCCACACATTTTGCTGCTGCACCTTGTAAGCAATGCCATGTTTGCTTCACGCTGACATGACTGCTGCCCGTGCTCCCTTTGTTGTGTGTGTCACAAGTGCTACTTTCCACCCAAACACCTGGAGAGAGACTCAGGGCAGGAGCATGAGTGGCTGCCACCAGGACAGCGGCTCTGCCCAGCCCTGGGATGGGGCAGGTTCCAGCACCTTGCGCTGCTGGTAATCTCCTGGGCTGGAGGGACCAAGCAGCTGGGACAGTTGCCAATTCTCAGTCTCTTTCCATTTTCTGTCAACTGTTAGAAGAACAAGAGTGAGTGAAGTACACTTGAGACCTGGAGGGTATGGCTGAAGGGTGACAGGACTGGCATTCTCCTCCAGCCTCTGTCCCACAACCTCTGGTCTCTGGTGCTACCTTTTGCTGCCTGTTCTAGCATTGGCTAGGACAGTGACAGTGTTGGAAGCCATAGAGATGTGTCCACACTCCTGCACGTCCCTGGGTTCCTCAGCTACTGTCACTGGGGTTCTGTTTTCCCTCTGCCTCAGCAGGCTGGAGGGCAGAGACCACCAGCATGTGGCTCCTTGGGACAGGAAGAGCAGCACTATGCAAAAGTCTCTTTGGGCAGGGAAGCCACTGAGCTGGTTAGAGATGATGTTACAGGAGTGCTGCTGCAAGCACAAGAGGAGCCGAGAGGAAGCACGCACCCAGGAGCATGAGGAAGCCCTGCTCTCGTGGCAGGCTGTGGATTGGCTGTGTGGTTCTTGCCTATCTGCAACTGCTCTGCTGCCTGGGTCTTCTGGGGCTGGGGCAGTTCTGAGGCTGTGTGGGGAACCCCCTCTTGCTTGGCTGTGGCTGCATCCAGCTTGGGAGCCAAGCTTTTGCTTGGAACGTCAGTGCTCCAGGCAGGTGCATCCTGGCCACACAGTATGAAAGCTGGTTGTTTCTCCAGCCTCTGTGGGAATGGTCCCTATCAGAGAGACGTGGGCTCTTTGAGACATTGCAGACCCTTCAGGAGCCAGCAGAGTGGGTCCTCTCAGGTTGAGAACCTTTCTTATTGCACAGAATTGCTTGAATGTTGCAGCGGTGAGGTTTGAGCAGAGCACAGCACTCATACCTGTTGTGTGTGTTGACAAAGGGGAAGCTCTGTGGATGCTTCTGGCATTCTGGTGCTGGCTGTGGTTTTGGAGATAAAGGGGGAAATGTTCTTTGGCAAAGAGAGGTTTGGCATTAGCACCCCATGCAAGAGGAGAAAGAAAAAAGCACTTTAAATTAAGCCTTCTCAGCCAGGCAGCTGGGCCCCGTGCGCCGCCCGGGGTGCTCTCAGGCTGAGGGACCACAGACCTCCCGCACCACTGCTGCCCTTCAGGGCAGGGACGTCTCTTCAGGCCTGGGGCTGGGCAGCTTGGAAGAACGGAGGGCTGCGTGGCTGGAGGGGTGGCTGGCTGGCTCTTCCCTGGACGGGGGCTGGGCCTGAAGGATGGGGCTGTCCTGTAGGAGCCACGTGCCACCAGCTGGCCTGATGCCAGGTGCTGGGCACTGCTGGACTCCTGTGCCAGCCTGGAGCAGTGCTGCAGGACGGTGTTTGCCCAGGACGGGGCCTGTTGCCCTGCTGCTCTGGGAAGTGTGAGGCTCCCATGCAGGGCATGGCCCATCCCCATAGCATGTCTCCCAGTGCAGAGCGCCCTGGGTCTGTGCCAGGAGCTGAGCCCTCCCCAGCACAGGCGTGGTCCTGCCCTGCCTGCTCTCAGTCCCGTCTTGAGCATTTGGGTCTGTGTGGAGCAGCACTTGTACCCCAGTCCCACTCCTTTGCCCTCTGCCCCTCTCCTGCCTCCGTCCCACAGCTCGTCCCAGCCCCGCTGTCCGCTCAGTGTCCTCTGCCACCTTGGCCGTATCTGCACTATGCCAGGCTTGTGTCTGTGGTTTGTTGACGGTGAATTATAATGCACTTTAAAACTTACGTGGCTTCTAGCCTTTGTCATAATAAAGCGATAAGCAACATCCCCCTGGGGCTCGCTGCTCTCTGTTACCCAAGGCACACCTTGCCCATTGACCTCTTCTGGGGCAGCAGGAACCCTCCCCTCAGGCACAGACAGGTTTATTAGGGCCCCCAGTGCTGGGCTGGGGAGGAGGAGCGCGGCGTGATGGAGCCTGGGGCACTGAGCAGGGCAGGGGCAGTGGGGCAGCTGTGCCCAGGCTGCAAAAGAAGGCTGCGAAGTGGCAAACGCCGTCATTCTGCCTTTATTGGAGTATCTTCACATCTCATTCAACAAAACAGGTTTTTAAAAAATAAGGTGCCCAGTGGAGCTAGGCCTTTGGGTAGATAAAAGCATTTCTATAACATTGTCTGACCACAGTACAGCGCGTGAACAGAGTTCCCTGGGCTGGCGGTAATGCAGGACGAGCACTTCTTACAGAGAAGTAGCAAACTACAAACCACTGACCACGACACTTGGAATATAACGCCTGACGTGAAGTTCCGTTTTGTTTTTTATACAAACTGATAGAATAAAAAAATCAGTGTAGTAGAATATTCAGCAACAAAAATGGTAGAAAGGATCCGTACCTGATTGTATGAAAGCAGCATTTCAGCAGAGTGCAGTGGCGTCATGCACGGCACGGGCAGGTATTGCTGGGCACCCCGGCTGCGCCGCGGTGATATTGCGTGGTTCCTTCGTGGCTCTTGCTAAGCGAGTAAAGCAGCAGGGAATTCAGCACGAGGGGGCTGGGGGCAGCTGGGCGATCCCCCCGCGGGCGTGGGACTGCCAGGCACAGGGTCCCCGGGAAGGGCAGCGGGGGGCAGCTGCCTGCCTGTGGCAGAGGGGCCACAGTGGGGCTGAGGATGCCGGCGGCCGCGCTCCAGGCACAGGTGGGAGCGGGCGGCTCGCCGGTGCTGGCAGTTCAGGTGTGCTCGGCCCTTTGGTCCCACGATGCTTGCTCATCTCCAGGCAGCCCCAGTGGCCGCGGGGCGCTGTGAGCCCGTTCCGCCCCCCGGTCTCCCACTAGTCCCCTTTTGGCTCCTCCAGGATCTGGGGCAGGTTCTGATCTTTGCGCACTGACAGCGGTTTGACGGCGCTGCTGTAGTCCTGGATGGCCTTGGGCTCGTTGGTGTGGTAGGAGCCCTTGTAGCGGTGGTAGTAGAAATAGAGCAGCACCAGCAAGCCCCCGAGCAGCAGGAGCAGGAATGTCACGACTGCGGGGAAGAGAACGGTGAGGGATTTGGGAAGAGGATGGGGGACAATGCATGGCACAGCTCAGGGGGCCAGCTGGGCATCTCACTTACATCCGATGATGATCCCAACCCAGCCATCATCATGCACGTGGGGGAACTCTGCAGGGATAAAGTGGGACTTGTGATGAGGCTGTGGGGTTTGTGCTGGAGCATCACTTCTGCCTCAGTGAGCAGCACCCCATGCTTTAGGGGGACCCTACCTGTGCCCATGTACCACGGGTCCATCTCGGGCGGGATGAGGATGGTGGTGAGGGGCAGCATGGAGGCACAGCTGGACTCCACCACCTCCCCCTGCACACTGTAGGGCCGCACAATGCTGGTGGGGCGGAAGATGGCTTTGAGGGGGACAATGCTGTTAAACTTCACCCCTGAGAGGCAGCCTGAGAATCCGGGTGTGTTGTAGCGCTGGATTTCGGGGTCAATCACGCCGGTCTCTGTGGGGGCACAGAAGGAAATAGCTTATCCCTACTGAAGGCCGTGCTGGGCAGAGGGGTGCTGGCGGCGGGACCCAGCTCACCCATCACACGCCCCAGGTACAGGTTCTTAGGTGAGTCCAACTTGCTATCCACAAACAGGGAGAACTGCTGCTCCATGACTGGCAGATAATCCACCTAAGGGGCAAACACTCAGCATCAGCCCCCTATTCTTCTGCACCTCCCACCGCCTTGGGTTGCCCCAATCCCATACCTGCGTGTACAGCGTGCGGTGCCAGCGGGTGATGTTGACATGGTGAGGTCTCCCATCTGTCACTGGCTTGGTGGTGAGGGCAAAGATGTAGGGGCTGGTGCCCAGCTGGTAGCGCAGCTGCAGGCTCCCTGCAAAGAGAGCGAGCGAAGGCTGTAGGGCTGGTCCCCAGCACAGGGGTGGAGGAGCCCCCTGTGCCCTCACCATCATCCTTGATGAGAACGGCCATGTAGTCCTTCACAAAGGAGCTGACGTAGAGCAGCACAGCAGGTGCCGAGGTGGTGCTGAAGCTGAAGCTGACCTCCTCATTAGTGAGGTTGTAGCCAGGCAGGGGCTGCCAGGGGCTGCTGACTATGCTGGCAAACTCGCGGGCAGCATACAGCGACATGGGCAGGATGTTGTACCGCACCCAGGCACCCTCCTCGAAGTACCCACCGATGTCTGCAGGGCACCCACAGGGTGATGAGAGCTCCTCTCCCGTGGAGGCTTCCCCCTGCTGTGCCCACAGCACCAAACTGCTCACCATAGTTGCAGAAGGGCCCATCAAAGGCAGAGATGCTGCAGTTGCAGCTGTAGTGGCTGTAGCGCTCGACGCAGAGCCCGCTGTTCTGGCAGGGCACCGGTGGGTCCTGGCAGTGGCCGGTGCAGTTCACCTGCACGCCCTCTGTCTCGTTGGCCTTGCCCTCCAGGTTGAGCGTCACGCCGTTCATCCGCAGCGCCCGCAGGCACCCCAGGAATGGACGCATCTTGTGCTCCGCTGAGCCTGCGGCGGGACCAGGACTGAGCAGCTGCGTGCTGCGGGGACACGGGGTCACAGGGCACAGCAGGGCTCTCACCGACATAGAGGGGTCTGTCAAACTCCAGGTGGACGAAGCTCTGTGGTGGGGCCGGCCGCACCACCCAGGGCAGTCTGTCCACCCGCAGCCGGGCCAGCTTCACGTTGAGCTCTGCCTTCACCTGGTGCCACTCGTCGTCATTCCAGGGCACCGCTGAGCGAACCGTCAGGTTCTCGTGCCCGTTTCCAATGTCGTAGGCAAACACCACATCCCTGGTGGCTGCGGGGACGCAGTGTCAGCAGCATTGCACCCTGCTGCCCTCCGCGCCCCACACCCCACCCGTACTGTTAAGCTCCACACGGATGTAGTTTTGTGTGCCGGGGTTTTCCAGGAAGACGCCGGATGGGGCGGTGGTCTTGAAATAGAAGGAGATGTCGAGGCTGTGGTTGGCGCGGAAGGTGGGGAAGAGCAGGGCTGCACCTTTGTTGAAGGAGACGGTGTTCCAGGTGTTTCCTGCGAGGAGCAGGACAGGGTGAGCGGTGGGTGCGAACCCAAAGCGGGCTCGGACCCTAACACAGCTCTGGTCACTCACGGTCTCCGTAGCACCGCAGGGGGCCCAGCAGGAACTGTGCTTCGGATCCAGAGCGGTTGGTGTCTCCCACCACCACCTGTGTGACGGGCAGGTGGTCCACGAAGGTCAGCAGACCTTTGTCTGTCCTCCTGCAAATGGATCATGCATCAGAGGTGCCATGCAGGGGTCCTGTTTCTGCCTGGACCCCCGACCCATGCCCTCCCTGTGCCCACAGCCTCTGCCTGGCACTCACCACAGTGCATGGTTGGCATCACAGTTGCAGAAGTACTCGGGATCAGCACAGTTCTTGTCCAGCCCGCAGGCGCAGCGCTGGATGCCCGGCCGCGAGCCGCCCCAGTAGTAGTGCCGCTCATTGTTTCGGCCCATCCAGAAGCTGTAGGGCAGCCCGGCTGGAGGTACAGGGGTGGGTTGAGGACACGGCCCTGTGGCGCAGCCCCACAGCACGGCCCCGCTCCCTCCTGGTGCTTACAGGGGGTGTTGAGCAGGCGAGAGCTGTAGCAGTGGAACTCAATCCGCTGTTCGCAGTACTCAGAGGCATTGGCCAGTGCTGAGACCTCAGCCCAGGAGGCATTCCAGTACTCCACTTCACCCAGGTAGGGCTGGTCCACGCTGGAGCCCGTCACTCGCGTGGCATAGTGCCGATTGTGCCGGATGATGGTCCATGCTCGGTCCTCTGCAGAGTGGAGCTGTTAGGAGGTTCCCCTGTTCCCTCCATCGTGCTCCAGATCCAGGCACGTGGAGGGGTCTGGTCCCTGAAGGCAGCCCCACGCCTCCCCCCGCCCCACTGCGCCCACCTCGGATGTCACAGTACACTGTGAAGGGCTTCAGTGGTCCGCTGCCATCTGGGTCAATAGTGTAGTTCCCCGAGGTCTTCCCGCTGACCCGGTATGCATCACAGGATTCTTTGTAAAGGGCTGGGAGAGGGGAATGAAGGGGATGACGATGGCACCGTGGTAGTGGGGAGAGCCACAGTGCCGCCCTGCCCCACGCTCACATTTGTGGCAGGTCTCTCCCTTGTAGCCCGTCAGGTCACAGATGCACATGAAGTCATCCCAGGACTGCACGCAGCGGCTGTCATGCTCACACAGGTTGGGGGTGCACCTGGGGGCACAGGGGTGAGTCCCGGCCCTGCCTGCACCTCCCCCCTGCTGCCCGAGCCATACCTGTCCGTTATGCCACAGACATTAAAGAAGACGTCGGCATACTTCCCCAGGCGGTGCTGCACCAGCATCTCCAGGTCCACGGGCTGCATGTCCACACTCAGCATCTGCAGGCAGCCGTGGAACGCCGTCTGGTTGGAGCGGCAGCCAGTGAGCGACGCGGGCTTGGGGCAGCCTGCAGGGTGCAGGGTGTTAGCAGGGCCTGGCACTGTATGTCCCCACGGTGCACCCACCCCACACCCACCTCCAAAGAAGTACTGGCTGCCGGTGCGGAGCTGGAAGGGATGAGCCACACGAAACTCAGCGCCATCGTCATCATCAATGGTCACCACGGCTGAGCCCTCCCGTGCCACCAGCTGCACCGAGTGCCAGAAGCCATCGTTCAGGCGATGTCCTGTGTGGAGAGAGCTGAGCGCTCGGGGGCACAGGCACTGAACTGGCCCCCAGCCCCTAGGCAGCCCCCAGCCCACCTGCAGCAAATTCAAGCTTCTTCTTGCCGGGCTGGGCAATGGAGACATTGACCTGGCCCTCACTCAGCACCATCTCCAGTGAGCCCA